GGCTCACTATGTACCTTCAATTCCTCTTTCCCCTGCCTCCATCTCTCAAGGGCTGGGATTACAGGCTGTGCCACTAAGTCCAGCAAGGAAATGGATTTGAACTACGCACAGAGGAGTGGTCAGTTTGAAGGCACGAATAATATACTCTAAGTGCACTGGTGTCCCACTAAGGGAAGAAGCCAAAGCCCTTCTTGGTGGGATTTAAGCAAGACTTGGGTTCTCTACTTCACTCTCCTTTGTCTTCTGTCCTATGGCCATTTGTTTCTCGAGCCTGAACCTGTGCCTGCCCGAAGGCTGTCTTGGGAGTCTGTCCCTAGTTCTGAGTCTGTCAGCGAGTGACTGCATGTATACAAAGGGCTTTGCTCTGTCTTTACTGAATGGCACAGAAAGCATCACAACGGGAAGGAATGGGATACTCTACAGAAATCTTCAACAGAGTTTTACAAGGGATTAAGTCATTGGCTCCAACAGATCCAACTTCCGGTGTTGCAAGTACCATTGTTTATCAAGCAATATCCAAATGTTGTGCCCAACATTTTATAAGATTGCTTCTACACTTTATTTTTATTGCCTTCAGGAAATGATATGCAAGCATTGTTCTCTGAGTCAGGAACACCAAGGAGTACATAATTTCAATTTAGGGTTATAGCTATGGTAGTTCAGGTTGTAAAAGTTGGTGTCATGGGAAATTCAAAGCAAGCAAGCTTGTTATACTGTTTCACACTTGTTATATTGTAACATAAAAGGCAGATTGAGCAGGCTGAGTACACAGTAGAATAGCCAGTCTTATGTGATCTCAGGTTGGATGATGAACTCTGGCTGGGAGCTCTGGAAAAAGCTCCAGTCTCTTAGATAGAAGAGACATTGTCGTGGTATTGTCACAGAGGACATGAGAAAGGTGTCACTCAACGGCTGTTCACGAAATGTCTGTTCTGTGCAGGGTATGCTGATACACATACACAGGCTGCAGATTTGAATAAAGTCGGGCATCAGGGCTGGACAGTCGGAGATGTTTGCTGTTGGGCTGGCCAGTGGGAGATGGTTGCTGTTAAGGGTGAAGACAAGGAGAATCCTGCCAGGCCGACCCGTCAAGTGGGCGAGAACCTCTGCTAACCTTGCCTTGATGTTCCACCTTGCTCAGCCGGGGCCAACTTTTTGGTTTCATTGTATCTCTGGCCTTCCTAAACTAGGAAAAACAAAAACAAAAACAAAACAGAGACCTGTTCTAATCTTCCAGAAAGGGCGCTGTCTGTTCTGACCTTGAAACTGAATAAAGACCTAATTTAAGGTTTCTAAGCAGATGCTGGGGAGGAGTGGAACCTTGACTCTTAACCAGGGAACCAGGGGCCTTCTTCCTTGGAACACACACACACACTGGCCTGATACAGAAAATGCATTTCTCTGTATGTATTTTAAGTTTGTTTGTTTATTTCGAGACAGGGTTTCTCTATGTAAGGTAGCTCTGGCCAACCTGGAACTTGCTCTGTAGACCGACCTTTGCCTCATAGATTTGCCTGCCTCGTGAGTGCTAGAATTAAAGGTGTGCCCCATCACCACCCATCTATTTTTGTTTTGAAACGATGTTATGTCTACGAGTGGGTGTGTGCATGAGAATTCAGGTGCCCACAGAGCTCGATGCTGGTGCTAAAAGTCACACCCAGATCCTCTGTAAGACCAGTACTCACTCTTTTTAATTTTGTATTTATTTATGTATTTTTTTTAGGTATGAGTGCTCCGTCTTCATGTATGTCTGCATGCTAGAAGAGGGCATCAGATCCCATTATAGGTGGTTGTGAGCTACCATGTGGGTGTTGGAATTGAACTCAGAGCCTTGAAAGAGCAGCCAGTGCTCTTACCATGAGTCATCTTCAGCCCCCTGGTACTCTGAACTGAGGAATCTCTCTAGCATGCATATTGATACAGATACATATATGTGTATGTGTTTACATATAAACGTGTATTTTTAAAACATTAAGATAGTTGTCACATGTCCCAGGCTGGCCTCAAAATCACTGTATCGCCAAGGATAGGATGACTTTGAACTTGTGATCCTCCTGTCTCCAACTCCCAGATGCTGGGGTTTCAGGAATGCCTCACTATGACCAGTTTGTGCCGTGTCGGGGAACAAGTACCCTACCAGCTGAGCTACGTCCCTAGCTGAAGGCAGTGGACCTGCTGCATGAAGCAGCTCCCAGTGCACAGCATGGACGACTGTATGGAGAGAAAAAGAGCCCCTCTTTGGGATCTGTCTCAAGGCAAGGGTGGCTCAGTGACTCTGAGGGATGTTCTGTCTGTAGATGCTCCGGTTACGTGATGACTTGTTTGAGTTTTACATGAAGTCGAAGCAATGACCTAGGTAGAGACAAAATTATGTAATCTAGTTTCACTAAGTTCTCTAGAATTAAGTCTACCTGTAATGACTAGGTGTGTCTATGTGGGCATGTACCTAGGTGTTCCATTATTCTCATGTACAGAGTTCAACGAGGGTTCGAGAAGTCTTCAGATGCTGGTAGCTCAGTAGGTTCAGACTCCAGGGGCCTGACCTGGTACATGGGCCGGGTGGGCTTGAGGAGATCATTTTTCTACAACGTCTCTAACTCAGAGGGACAGAGCAAAGGGCTTGCAGACAATCCCCAGGCAAAAACCAATTTAGTTACATAATTCTGATCTACGTGGGAGTAAAGATACAAGATATTGAACTCCAAAATAAATTTATCGGAGCAGGGGAGATGGCTCAGTTAGGAACATG